CACTCACACCACTGGTCCTGTAGGGCTCATCCGCCCTGGATTCCCTGTATTTTCAGTTCCTATCTGGAAGATTGCTCTTGTCATGACCTTAGCCTTTAGCTGATCTGCTTTTGCTTTGTCTGGACCACTTCTTTCTGTTGGTAGCCATTGCTTTGATTGTACTTTGTCTTCACAATTGTACTGTTAATTCTGTTGCAGTTCTAAGAAATGCTTTAGGATTTTGATCCTACTTGTTTAAAATTCCCATAGAAAGTTCTGCTTTTGTCTGAAACTGATGTAAGTGTAGCTTATCTGGTACCCATTGATCAGAAATTTTTTTTCAGTCAGATTGTGTGATCTTAAGCAGTTGAAATATCTATAGTTAGGTGTATTGTTTCTGCTTTTTAATTACTGGTCTTTCTCGATTAGGACACGCACAAAGTCACTACCTCACAAATTGATGTGAATGCTCTGCTGCCGTGCCTTCATCTTCAGCACCCACTCAGTTCTGCTTCTATCATCCATTTGTAAACTCAAGTCTCTTGAGGGCCTTTTCCATTAAACTGTTTGTACATAAAGCTTGGATGATTTCAGCATTCTTTCTAAGCCAAGCTCTACTATAAACTTGATGTTTGTTCTTCCTTCAAATTTAGCAGAATTCTTTTTGCTCTTATAGAGGCACTGATATCTTGTCTTCTGTGCCTCAAATGAGATCTTTTCAGACATGTTCATAACAAATTCAATTTATTTAAATGCACATTTAAAAAAATCCATGCACCGTTTTTCATAATACCATAAGTCTTTTGAGGATTCCTTCTAGTATTTGATATAGGGTCTCAAAGTCTATTTGGAATTTCCTTTTTTCACACTATTGTTTTAATCTCTCTTCTTTTAAAATCTTTTTCCCTTCTTTTCCCTCCTTATTTCAACATATGCATACATATACTGCTACATCCAAATTAATTTTACCTTGTATCTTAGCTTTACTTGTAGTTTCCAGTGATCTTATTGGCGCTTTACAACTTCTTTTAAAGGAATTTAATTTCTTGATGCATTGTACATTGTACATTTATGTATAACATTTTTATACATATTTGAGAACTTGGAAAGTGGAAAATGTATACCAGTGGTCTTGGTTAGTGTATACTTGTCTACCAGCTGTAACGCAGTGCCATTGTAACAAGTAATATAATTTTAAATAACACAAGTACGTTCTCTGAATTTGTCACCTACCACAGCAACCAAACTTTGCTGAGTTATATTAGGAAAGTTTACTCTTTCAACTGGAGTACAATTTTAGAAATATGGGTACCCAAGGCACAGTCTTGGTAAAGATGGGCAAGAAAAGACGCACATACTTGGTGATTGAGTTAGGAAAAGAGCAGAGGAAAGAAGAGATCCTTTTTATTTTGCTGATTTGCTTGTAAGAGATAATGCCAGAGGAAGAAAAAAGCAGACTTTCCTCTAAAGATCACTTTTTAAATTTAACTTGGTGTTGTGCAATGCAGCTTTGGTAGTACAGTATTTGAAGCAATTCTCTGCTAACCCAAAGGTCAGTGGATCAACCTCACTAGTGCTTAGCAGCAGAAAGCTGTGTAGTCTGCTTCCAGCCTTGAAAATCATCAAAGATTCCTATGTGTTTGAGATGACTGAATGACAGTGTATATGCACGCACATGCCAGAATTTTGTGTAGAGTCGTGATGGTGCTGTTGAGTAAGCATTGGTCTGCTAAGTGTAAGATCTGGGCTTCTAATTAACCAGATGATCCTCAAGAGAAAGTGAGTCTGTTCGCTCCCATAAAAACTCACAGATTCAGAAAACCTTATATAGGCTCTCTCTGAATTAGAAGAAACTCAATGGAAGTGGGTCAAGTGCTTATTAGATTACTAAGGCGTACCCAAAAAACCCGGAATTTTTTCAAAGTTACGTGTTTAAATTTTTTTTTACAATACAACCATATCCCCTTCAAAGTATTCCCCATTATACTTAACACATTTGTCATTTATGCAATTCCATACTTGAAAACATTTTTCAGATCCATTTGTTTGGATAGCTGACGGGACCTCCTTATTTTTTTTCTTCACCACTTCTATGTCCTCAACTCACTGTCCTTTAATGTCCTCCTTCATTCGAGGAAACAAAAGAGTTCGCATGGAGCAGCAGGGTCAGGTGTGTAGTGCAACAGAGGCATGCTGTTTTTTGCTAAAAACTGGCTCACTGAGATTGTTGTATCAGCATATGAGCAGGTGCGATGTGGTGCAAAACCAGTCCCCCACCTGCCACAAATCAGGCCATTTTTGTTGCACACTGTTACGCAACCTTTTCAGAACCTCTAAAAAGAAAGGTTGATTAACAGTCAGGCCTGGTGGAACAAATTCAAAATAAACTAAAAGTGGACGTTTTTGTCCGTTTGGGAAGTTGACATCCAAAATGAGCTTTTTCATCAGTTAACATTACACCTTTTTTTGGAATGAGAAAACCATTCATATACTTGAGTTTTCCCTTTATAAGCTGTGTTCAGCAGCACAACAGTTTCTGTGGCATTTTTCCAGAGCAGGAAACAAAATTTCACAGTCACACGCTGTTCTCTTAAATCAGCCATCACCAAAAAACAGGGTTCTAGTGAAACTGCTTTTATGAAAAAATTACCTGTGACCAGAGAGGACCTTCCCAGTCAATGCCACTGGGTGCACTAACTCAGAGTGAGTTGCTCAATGCTAGCCTAGTGGCAAAAATGTGAACCACTAAAGCTCTGACCCACCCAGCGCAATTCCTGTTTGGGGGGTTTTTTAGGAGGAGGGTACCCCCTCTTATGTTCCCTGGACTTCTGCCCTTACGTCCTTGGCCATTAGATTTCGGTGGGTTTCTACTGCTTTTGGGTTGGGAGGGTAGGGCAGGGGACATTGTATCTGTTCTTAGAAGTTTACTAATGTACGTAATCTAATTTAATATGGATAATAGCCATCTTGGGACAAAATACCAGAAAACTGGTGTTACATAAATTTGGAGAACATCACTATTCTAGAAGCTATATTTAAAACGTAAAATGTCCCTAAATTTTACTTTTTGTTTTGTTTTGGTTGACAGATATCATGTACAATCTTTATGGATAGATATTTTTAATCCTTTGGGGTTCTCAATTTTGCAATTTTTCCAAGTTGATTTTATGAGTTGATTGTTTAATTTCCTTTTCCAGGTGTCCTTTGAATCTAAAATACAACTTCGAAGCAAACAAGAATTCCAATTTTTTGATGATGATGAAGAAACTGGAGAGAGCCATACCATCTTTATTGGTCCTGTAGAAAAGTGAGAGAATGCCTTCTTATTTGCAGTGTTCTGAATTTCTTTCTCTCCCCTGGTGTATTGTGTACTATTTTGTTTGTTTGTTTTGTTGCAGACTTATTGTATATCCACCACCTCCAGCTAAAGGAGGAATTTCTGTTACTAATGAGGACCTGCACTGTCTAAATGAAGGGGAATTTTTAAATGATGTTATTATTGACTTTTATTTAAAGTAAGTTAATTTTCTACTAAATATTTAGCTAATTTTTCTTTGTATTCTATTGTATATCTGATTTTTCGTGTCAAACTATTTGGGCTTTGAATTCCTTCATTACCACTTATTGCATGATGTTTGAAAGTATTTAGTCTCTTATTTGTATATCTTAGTTTTTATAGAAATAATGATAATTTCTAAAAGAATTAAATAAGTCAATTGCAAGGAAAGTGCCTGGCATATGCAACATGTTCAGAAATGTAATTTCATATATTATTGATAGAGTGTTTCTTCCCAAACAGGTACTATTTGCTATCGCCATGTTTTGAAATGATTCGTTTAGCAGCTAGTAAAGTATTATTTCATGTACTTCCTTGAATTAATGTTCATTAGGTACCAACTATATATTCTATGTGATTGCATTTATAGAAATGTATAGTTTATAGAGAACACAAAGTTAGGATTGAAGCAATAGTAAAATCACTAACATAGTACAGATAAAACAAAAAATAGTTCATTCTCTTTGGAATCTAGATTTAGAAAACATTCTTGAGTAAGTTATTATCATAACCCAGTATGTATGTCCATACATATTAATACCTGTAGTGTTTGGCATAAATTGGTATGTGATTACTAGTTTATGAAGGAAATGGAGAAGGGCATGAAACAAAACAATTAGCATGTTTAGAGCTTTCTAATATTTTCTAGTTTATTCTAATGTACCTTTTTTTACATTTATTTCCATTTTCCCCCCCTGTGGATTTAATGTTACTCTGTAAGTCTCAGATTTTGATTAATCTCCCATGATAACCAATAACCAGTGACTTCATAATAGCCAACAATTATAAAGTACTAACATGTGATATTCATGCAACCAGTCACGTTCAATCCAAAATGAGTATCAGAGACCCGGAAAAACCTTAAAATAAAAATAAATGTATTCCTCTACTAGAGGTGTTTATTTACCTTCCAAATGACCAAATGCAACCAAATAAAATGAATGTAAAATAAAAATGTATTATTTTGTCATTAAACCAGGATGAAGCTTAGAACTGAATCACTTGACCCTTACTCTTATCTCCTCCCAGTTCACAATGCTTGAAGCTCTTAATAGCCAATATTCTCTTAAGTCTGTGTTGAGTTTAACACATTCAAATCTCAGTTCAATCAATGTTCTTTGTAGTTTTAGTGTCTTTTGGAAAATTGACTTAGTCTGTCCACCATAGCCACTCTGCTTCATGTCATATTGTTGCTTTCCTTGGGCATACAGAGAATCTGCCCTCTTGTACTTTGTCACTTTGTAGGATTGCTGCTTGGCACACTTCTTATAGAAAGTCCAGCAGGTTGTAGGAATGTTTGCCATGTTTGCGGCAGTGCTGCCAACACAAAAAGCTGTTTTGATGTATTTAACAAATAAAACTGGTTATTGAAACCTACTGCCATGATTTGTTTTCAAATTCTTGATTATTAATATTTATAGTGCACAATTTGAAAATAAAACATTTTTTATTAATCATTTTATCGGGAGCTCTTACAGATATTAAAACAATCCATAATTCAGTTGTTGCTACCATCAGATTCAAAACATTTTCCTTTTTGAACTCTTATATGAGCTCCTCTTTATCCCCTCCCTGCTCCAACCTACCCCCCAGAAACACTTATTTAATTATATATAATTGTTTTATTATTTTCAATTTTCTCCCTCCTTCCCCTCTCCCCCATCCCTCATCAACCCATGATAATTTATAAATTATTATTTTGTCATATCTTACACTGTCCAACAACTCCCTTCACCCACTTTTCTGTTGTTCATCCCCCTGGGAGGAGGTTATATATGTAGATCCTTGTAATCGGTTCCCCCTTTCCACCCCACCCTCCCCCCCACCCTCCCAGTTGTTTTATTATTATTATGTGCTGTGTCCTTAACCATCCAGTGTATCCATTCATCTGCAATCCTGTTATTCGTTCCCCTTGAGTGGGGTTTTACAGTCATCATTGTTATCAACCCCCACCCCCACCCCCACCCCACCCTGTACCCTCAGGGAATCATTACTCCCGTTACTGTTTTTGAAGGGATTATTTATCTTGGGTTTATGTATCAAACACTCTTAATTATACAAATGAACATATGAAGGTGTAACAACATTAATGAGGTGAAACTAAGACCTTAATTGTAAGGGGAGGAAATATTAAAGAGGATAGTTATGTGTTTCATCAGTGATATACTGCATCCTTTGTAGTGGCTCTTCTGTGAAGGGCTGTCCAATGAGCCTACAGGTGGGTTTGGAGGTTCTGCTTTGTCTATGCTCATTTATATCAGTTTGATTGCTTGAATAAAACACTGTAGCAAGAGTAAAATGTTTTAATCAGAGTAGTAGTACTATCGTTTAGTTTATATCAGATAATTTTGACTTGTGGAAGTTTAGATGAGAGGTGATTTAAGAGACCCAACTGTGATGTTAGTAGGAGTGAAGAAAACTTGATGAGATCTTTAGGAGGTAGAATTATTGGGGCTGTTTAAATAGAGATTAAGAAGAAAGAAATGGGTACCAGAGAACTCGTAAATAATCTTGTCACTAAAATGAATGGAGAAGTGGAATGACCTTGAGTAGAAAGAGGGATGAGTTCACTTTTAAATGTTTACAATACAATTCATTGCTTGGCTGGCTGTTTAAATTGCATTACATTGGAATTCTTTTTATAAACTAGATATTTGGTGCTTGAAAAATTGAAGAAAGAGGAAGCCGACCGAATTCATATATTCAGTTCTTTTTTTTATAAACGCCTTAATCAGCGAGAGAGGAGAAACCTTCATGAAACAACCAATCTGTCGTAAGTCAAGCTCTTTAAAAACATTTAACAGATGAAGTCACTTGGGCATGACAATAAAATTTACTTACATTGAGGCACTATCATTCAGTTCTGTTAATAGTTGAATATGAAATTGCTATAATTCCTAATATTCTTAAGCTTAAAGAACACTTGGTATTCATAAAGGTCATCTAGGTGTGATATCTGGAACAGTGCTTCCTCGATAGGCCTAATCGTCTCTTTTAAGAAATCGCTTATTAAATACAGATTTCTCTGTTACTCTGCTTTGTTCTTATGTTATTTTGCCAATAGTATTCTAGATATTACCAAAAATCACTACTGTCAAGTTGTTTCTGACTCATTGGGTGATAGAACTGTGCCTGTGGTTTTCCAAGACCACAGCTCTTTATAGGAGTCGCTGTATGTTTTCCCACAAAGCAGCTAGTAGCTTTGAACAGCTGACCTTGCAGTTAGCAGCCCAACACCTAACTCGCTACACCATATTGGGTCTGAGTTATTTTCTAATTTTTCTTCCATATTAAACAATCAACTGCAATACTTTCTGGTAACTGTTTAAAAGAAAGTACCTTTAAAAAAATTTTTTTTGGCATAACTTAAAATGTTTGACATGATCCCTGCTGACATAATGTTTTTTCACTGTTCCAGTACCTGCCAATTTTGTGGGTTCTCATTCAGAACTAACTGCCCTTGAGTTGATTCTAATTCGGAGAGATGCTACAGTGCAGGGTAGAACAACTTTTGTGGGTTTCTGAGACTCTAAATCTATAGGAATAGAAAGACTCATCTTTCTCCTTTGGAGCAGGTGGTGGTTTCAAACTGCTGATCTCTTGTGTCTTAGGGTTAATGATAATTATTTTCTTGTTACCACCCTCAGATCTTGTTTGTTCTTTCCTCATTTCTCCTAGGTTTCTGTAAGTAATGCTCTGATAAACCTTTCAACCTACTTGCTGCTATCAATACTGAAGTAATGCAAATGAGGGAGGGATATCTCTAGGAAATAGTAGGATATAATAGCTGGAATTAAATATTTCTCCACTTTTGTGCTTTCCCAAAATCCATCTCAGATCATTTATTTTCTCTCTCCACCTTGATAAACCATTATAAACAAATGTTTGTGCTACTGATTCTTCATAATTTATAAATCAATGCATATAAGCCAAAGCACTAGACACTTAGATGATATATTGATATTTATTTTTTGTCTTACAGAATACAGCAAAAGCGACATGGTAGAGTAAAAACCTGGACCCGACATGTAGATATTTTTGAGAAGGATTTTATATTTGTACCCCTTAATGAAGCGTAAGAATTTCCTTTCTTTATTTAAAAAAATTTTTTTTAATTTATTTTTTTAATTTCCTTTCTTTAAATTGTTTCTTTCTGTAAATGTGCCGACAGTTTTCAGAAAATGTGATTATGGAATGTAAAAATCAGTTTTAAACCCGAGAGAAATTTATTGGGGACTTTTTTGCAAACTTCTTATGAAAACTGATGCATTTTCCCAAAAGTGAATCATGTATGACAATTATTTTTGCAATCACTAGACCAGATATTTTTTAAAATTTAATTTTATGAGGGTACTTCGAATAGTTCATGGAAAGATTTTGTTGTCTTTTGATTTTTGTGTATCCACAAACATTTTAAAGCCTTACAGTATTGATAAACATGAATCAGTGTCATTAAAAATAGTTTTCATATAGAAAAGGCTATTGTATACCAAAAGATAATTAATTTAGAAGAATTTATTTGGACTTTTGGTTCTCAAAAAAATGTCTCCTAACCCAAAAAGAGAAGAGATTGTTGGAATTAGGACACTTACTTAGATTGAAAACCAGCTTCATTCTGTATTGTCTATTCTGTCCACTTGAAGCAATTTTGTACATAAATGAAGGTGCTTCACTATTGTAATTCTCAATTACTAAACTCCTGTTGATAACAGTTGTACTGACTGTCACCAAATTAATTCTGATTCATGGTCACTGGTGGCTCAATGACTAGAGGCATGGTTTTAGAGACAGTTGATAGCCATTACCATCAAGCCAGTTCTCGTTCTTAGGTTTTCCACGAGGGTAAATCTTTATAGGAAAAGATAGCCTCATCTTTTTCCTCAAGGAGCAACAGGTGGATTTGAAACACGTGCTGTTGGCAGCCCAACATTTAACCCATTATACTATTCTATTAGGATAATGGTGTGTGATACAAGTGATTTCTTTTCCTACATCCTCCAACCAAAGCCCACCAGGGATTTAAACCTGTAGTTGAACAACTTGTGTTTAATTTTACAAGAAACAACACATCCAAAAGAAACCACGAAATATCTCATTAAGAGGGTGCAAGAAAGAATCTTAGATTTGGGTTTAGTTAAGGAATTTCAGGTAGGGTCAGAGGAAGTAATGCTTTGTGAGAAATATGATTTATGCTTGGTTGGTTGCTCTGATGAATTCTGTATCAGGAGAGAGGGATGTTTGGTATTACGTGAATCAACTGACCTTGTTACTTGACTGTTACAAATTTTGAAGTGGCTTTGCTTTGTCTCATTTTAACACGGTCTCAGTATGATTTTGAGGTTGGTTTTCTGTAAAATTGTTATATTAGAAGGACTCGTGAATAACAAGTCAGCTTCTGAATGCACCATTTTAAAAAAACTATAGTACAATTCTTTGTATTTAAATAAATGGTTTAATCATGAGACCTGTGTTCTATTAATTAGCCCAGTCAAAAGTAAGCAGGCAAAGTCTAAATATTGATTATAACACACAACTTCTTCAAAACTATGAATTTAAAAAAAAAATAAAACATTGCTCTCTTCATTCTCCCCAATTTAAGGTAAATTTCCTTACATTAACCTGTCATATAGAGTAACATTTGAAGTCGAGCTTCTTACTGTTGTAAACCAACGTTGAACTTACACTGAAAACCATTTGTGGAGAACCAATCACAAGGATCGATTTATAACCATCCCACCCCCCAGGGGGACGAACAACAGAAATGTGGATTAAGGGAAACAGTGGGCAGTGTAAGAAATGAAAATAGTAATAATTTATAATTTATTAAGGACTCCTGAGGGTGGGAGATGGAAGGGAAAAAAGAGGAACTGATACCAAGGGCTCAAGTAGAAAGAAATGTTTTGAAAATGATGACGGCAACATATGTGCAAATGTGCTTCATAAAATTGATGTATGGATTGTTATAAGCTGTAAGAGTTCCCAGTAAAATGATTTATTAAAAAGAAAGAAAACCATTTGTTAGAAAATAAACAAAAAATGTAAATAGAAGTAGAATTTGAAGACATACCACGATGAAGCTTAGAACTGAATCACCTGGCCCTTACTCTTCTTATCTCCTCCCAGTTCAAATTGCTTGAAGCTCTTAATAGCCAATATTCACTTTAGCGGTAGAGACACATCCCTTTTCGACACTACATCTGATGTGAATGGAAGTTACTGTTCATGTTTCCAGAAATCTTGGTAGGAAAAAATGGGCAAAAGTATAGGTGTCTGCCCTTAACGTAGGAGAATAGCTTCTAAATCAAAAGGGATTGTTTTAAGAGGTAGAGTCACAAAGGTTTATATTATGTATGTGTACTAAGTTATTAATGTTAGCTGCCACCCAGTCAGTCATCAAACCAGGAGGCCCCATGGGTACAAAAAGATAGACTCATATATTTATTATTTATTTATTTTAATATATTCTTGGTGGTAATAATTATCTCAAAGGATGTTTGTTAAAAATTGTCTTAAGTAATTGACAAGGAGAAGAAATTTAATATTTGGATACCTTGAGTTAACTGAAATTGGAAGGGACTTCAAGATTATCTCATTCAGCTTTCTCTTTAGCCAAGGAACATTTTTATCCTAGTTTATAGCTGAGAATGTAAAATATGTAAGGCTTATCTGTATTGTCATAGTTAAGACATATTTAGAACTATGGCAGACCCAGGTTATAGCTATATGTTAAAAACACATTCTCTTCACATTTTAATATTTTTTAAATTGCAATATGACAAAATCAACTGTGTCTTTGATTTGTCTTAAGTGGGTAAGTTAGTGTGTTGCCCTTTTTGATACCCAGGCCTGACCTAAATCCATAAAGAATACTGAGGCTTAATCATTTAGAACAACAGAAGAGCATTTACCCATCTTGGCTTTGCTGGGGATGACATCAGCTTTTTATTGGATGCTTTCCAAAAAAGGGATAGGTAGTGCTGTTTTTCACTCAATATTACCTTGGGTTGATTAAACATTTTGCAGAACTCAGAATGTGAAATAACCCAATCCATGTTAAATACTGTATTAATTGTGCCTTGCCAGGAAACACTCTACTATCTAGAGCCTGTGTATTTATCCCCAGCACATAACACTGTTCCTAGCAAATAAGAGGCTCTTTATAAAGTTGTTGGTTTTACAATTATTTGCCCAGATCATGTAGTTTCTTACTTTAAGTTGTCCCCCACTATTGGGAACTGTGATACCCACTGTGAAACACTTTAGTAATTTAAGTGTTTTGATATACTTCGATAATTTATTTCCTTTCCATGTACATTCATTTCAAAATAGCGTGGAGTTTATGTGCATAAATATTTTCAGTAGTGAACCCTTTTTACTTCCCTTGGTGGTATATTTGGCTGATAACCGAAAGCTTGGCTATTTAATCCCACCCTAGAGGCTTGGGAAGAAAGACTTAGGGATCTACTTCTAAAAAGTTAGCCAATGGAAACCCTTTGGAACATAGTGCTATCCTGATACACACCCAGTTGCCCTGAGATAGATGCAAAAAGTTCATGGGAAAATGAAATTAACTTGTATTATGGTTTGTAGCTGGACTGTACTTGTATTAATTTCCTTTTCTAAACAGTATTTTAAGATCTATACCATTGGTTAAATTAATGAAACCATTGATAGAATTTCCTGGTTGGTTGGTAATATTCTCAAACATAAAATGATATTATCTCTAAAGTGAACCAGAGACATATATAATGTGAATTTATTTGGGGCTCCCATTTCATTCTAATTCCAATCTAAAAACAATTACTTCTTATGACATGACCTTGCTTGATGCTCATCCCATAAAGATACCAGTAGTATAGCAAAGTGTGGTGAAGAAACTAGATGGTGCACAGCTTTCAGAAGGAAGTATCTGGGGTCTTTAAAGTCTTGTCTTCAAACAAGCAGCCATCTAAGTGATTTATCAACTTAAGTCCACATGGAAGGTGCACACTGGCCGATGTGATCTAAGGAATGTAAATAATAAAATCCAAATCCAAAGGAGGGAGTTGTATCTGAGCTTAAATTATGAACACCTGGTTTGAAGAAGACTGTAGGTGACAGTGGATGCCCAAAATTCATTTGCAGGTTCCACACATGAATTAAGCCTCTAGTTAATCTTCTCATGACTATGTTCCAGGGATGTAAATAGCCTTGTTATCATACAGAGAACATTGTAAAACTGATTATGGCAGATGTGGTTAGGTTAAAATATAATATCCTATAATTTTATCTCCCTTATGGCCCGTTTCAATTTTTTGGTTTTTGTTTAAAGTGAAGGGGAAATATACATAGATCAAGCCTCTATGGAATACCTTCTGACCATAGACCAGGGGTTTGATTAGCAGAGTGCTCTGGAAAGTAGATTATCACAGATGCAGTTAGGTTAAAATTTAACACCTTATCATTCGATCTCTCCTTTTTTCTCCCTGTTTACTTTATTGGGAAAAGTTTTGTCTTTTTTTATTAATCATTTTATTGGGAGCAATTACAGATATTATAACAATCCATAATTCAGTTAGATCAAGCATAATTTTACAATTGCTGCCACCATGTTTCAAAACATTTTCTTTCTTGGGTTCTTTGATATCAGCTCCCCTTTATCCCCTACCCCTCTCTCCCCCAGGGACCCTTATTGTTTTATATATATAAATATATAACAATATTTTTGCCGTATCTTACACTATCCAATGTATCCATTCACCTGTGATTCTGTTATTCATTACCCTCAAGTGGGGTTATACAGTCCTCATTGCTATCAACTCCCCCTTTCTGCTCTCTCCCCTTCCCCCCTCCCCATTCTGCCCTATGCCCTCAGGGATCATTACTCCTGTTAACTGTTTCTAAGGTTTATCTATAATAGCTTTCATACATTGAACGCTCTTAATTATACAAATGAACATGCACAGGTCTAACAATATTATATCTTCAGTGCATTTTATCTCCTTTTTGACCTATTTTACGTTTATTCTAGCTTTTAGTATTTCTGCATTCTTTTTGATCTTTTTCTCTTTCAGTGTGTTAATGTTGTTGGTTTATTTGTTCTGTATATGAAATCCAGAATAGGTAAATCTATTAGAGTCAATAACTAGATTCGTGGTTTTTTGGTGATATGGCAGGAGAGGTTAGAAGGAAATTGGGAGACCATAATGATAAGTACAGAAAGAAGAAAACGTTCTAAATTTGATGGTGGTAAGGATTGTACAAGTAAGTTTAATTGGATTATGGAATTGTGTGATATGTGAATTTTATGCCAATAAAACTTAAAAGCAAAAAATAAAAAATTTTAAATGGAATTTTCCAGCACGTTTTTAAAGGCTTTCCTTTTAAGTAGTTAGAGAGATAGCTGCTTATATATGTGTGTGCATACCACATTTTTTCACAAAAGAACGTGTGCAGTACAATTTGTATGGGCAGGGGTGGTGAGACACAAAGCAAACACAACCCTCTGAGCACATACGCTTCTCGTGGGTGCTATGTGCCTAATATACATGGGTGCGTTACGTGTAGAGGAACGTGTCTGTGTGCGTGTGTACGTGCATGTGTACACAAAATCAAATTCATTGTCATCGTTATTTCTAACTCATAGTGACCCTGTCAGGCAGAGTAGAACTGCTCCTATTGGTTTCTGAGGCTCTGTGATCCCCTTATCTTTTGGTTAGCAGCTGAGTACGGTTAGTACCTCAGGGCTTTTGCCACGATACAGTACTTAGAAAATGTCAAAAACTATATAGCCTATATAGATTTCTGAACACACTTCAATATTAAATAAAGCCAGTACATTTTCTTATAGAGGACTAGGGAGATGTTATATTAAAATGATGAACTGTAAAATAATCTATATTATGTTGCCTGGAAAAGTAATGATTTTCTTCCTAGCAAAAGTAAGAAAACAAATTGCTTATAAAAGTGAATTCAAGCTACATACTTTTAGCATAAATTCTAAAACCTATCAACCAAAATAAATGTGTTTAAGTAGATTTTGTAGTCTATGATGGATCAATGATCATGTAAACAGTGGGTTATTCTAAGAATGGGGGGGAGTTGGAGAAAAAAATTTGATCTTCTTATTCAATTTGTTTACAAAACTTTAGAAGGAACCTCAAACTATATGTATTGCCAAATATAATAAAATTTTATAATAACATTCAGTAGTTTCATTTGTGTTTTACAGTGCACATTGGTTTTTGGCTGTTGTTTGTTTCCCTGGTTTGGAAAAACCAAAATATGAACCTAATCCTCATTACCACGAAAATACAGTCATACAAAAAAGTTCAACTGTAGAGGACAGTTGTATTTCTTCTCCTTCAGCCTATGAAATGGACAGTTGTTCTTCACAAAACTCTTCTGCCAAACCTGTAATTAAGAAGATTCTAAACAGAAAGCATTGTATAGCTTTACTTGATTCAAATGCTGTACGGGAAGAAAGTGACCCTCGTTGTAGGAGAAATATATGCAATGTGAAATGTAGTATGAAAAAAATTAATCATACTTCAAGTGAAAGTGAAGAATCAAATAAAGGAGAGTCTGCTTGCCACAAAGCTGTTGATAGGACTAAAAGTGAGAATGGCCTACAGGATGAATATTTAAGTTCTCCACACCATACAGGTATGTGTTCTTGAAACAATGAAGGCATTCAGAAGATATTCACTTTTTAAAATAGGGTTAACGAAGGAGTAATTTGCATACAATAAAATTCATTCATTTCGCCTGGCATTATTCAATAGGCTTGGATAAAAATATGTAGTCATATCGTCATAGAACCTTTCCAAATTGGAAAAATATTCCATGTGTTCCCCCTACCCCTCAATCTTTTAGATGATTTTTAAAATCAGAGTTACACATTCCATTGTTGGATCTCAGATTTATTTTAATTTGATAAGGAATTTTGTTGAATTCAGCATAAATAATGTTTGCTCAGTGTTAGAACTGTAAAGGAAATTATTTCACTCAAAATGTAAAAGTGAATAAAGTGAGATCCATTGCAATTAAATGATTATTAGATCAGATTCACACACTGAGGGATGGAGTTGAATTTGGTGAAATACTGTATAGTTAAAACCTTAATCAAAAATACTTGTATACAGATTATTATTTGTTTAAACCCTTGGCTAAAAAATCATTCAATTTTATTCAGTGGCTTTTCTTATTCGCATCATTATATAATACTATGTATAGAAAGGTTTGGCAAATTGACAGCTAACCGAGCTTATTTAGGGCAAGTTAATTGCTTTTGTTAAAAAGGGCAAGTTAATTGCTTTTGGTAAATTCTTTGTTAATGATTTTAAGTAAGTCTTAACTGTTGTTTATCATATTTTTTCACCCATAGCTAATTATAATGCCTACCACCCATGTGAGTGAGATTTAACTCTCCCCATAGAGTTCTTTGACTATTGCTTTTGGGAAAAGATCATTGATAAGAATGCACCTTTGTTTTCTTTTTTTCTTAATGAGTTATTTTATTGGTGGCTCTTACAGCTCTTAAAACAATGCATACATCAATTGTACCAAACACATTTGTACATATGCTTCCAGCATCATATTCAAAACATATTCTTTCTGCTTGACCCCTTGGTATCAACTCCTCTTTTTTCCTCACCCTTCCCACTCTCATGGATCACTGATAAATGATAAATTCATATTATTTTAATTTCTTACACTGTCAACTGTCTCCCTTCGCCCACATTTTTGTTGTTCCTCCCCCTGAATGGGGGAGGGGGTTACACATGGGTCATTGTGGTTGGTTCCCCGTCTCTCTCCCCCTTCCTCCCCTCTCCTCCCCACCCCCTACCTTCCCCTTACCTTCATGGTATTGCTACTCTCATTACTGTTCCTGAGAGTTTTATCTGTCCAGGTTTCTGTGTATTGAAATCTCTTATCTGTACCAGTGTACATGCTATGGTCTAGTCAGATCTGTAAGATAGAACTGGGGTCATGATAGTGTTGGGGGTGGGCAGGCATTAAAGAACTAGGGTAATGTATGTTCAGTTGGTGCTATGCTGTACCGTAGTTGACTCCTTCCTTCCTTGTGACCGTTCCGTGAGGGAATGTCCAGTTGTCTACAATTGGGCTTTGGGTCTCCACTCCGACCTCATTATTTACATTGATATATTTGTTTGTTTTGGGTATTCTGATACCTGATCCCGTTAACACCTTATGATCACACAGGCTGGTGTGCTCCTTCCATGTGGGCTTTGTTGCTTCTCTGCTAGATGGCAGCTTGGTTAACTTGATGCCTTCAAGTCTCCAGACACTATATCTTGGAATAGCGAGGCACCATCAGTTTTCTTTACCACATTTGCCTTTGTTTTCTTTCATTTTCCTTCAAGAATATGCTTTCTTGTACTTTACTAGTTTTTATTCAAAAATGACATTTTAAGTAATTTTAAGGTATGACTTTCAGATGATCCTTATTCAAATTTTAAATAAGAAGTGGGCTGTAGAATACTACTTCAAAGGACAGCCATTTAAAAAGAATACCTTCAACCTAAACTGAACAGGAATGCTCACTCACTGAAAAAGAGTTGATTCCAACCCCTCAGAAGAGTAGAATCAGCACCATAGAGTTTGCAATGCTGTTTTTTGCCCAAATCTGGTGTACTGAGATGGCTGTGTGAGCAGGTGCATTGTTGTGGCAAAACCAGTCCCCTGACTGCCACAAATCAGGCCTTTTTGTTGCATACTTTTAGGCAATCTTTTCAGGACCTCTAAGTAGAAAGCCTGATTAACAGTCTGACCTTGTGGAACAAACTCCAAATGCACTCGGAGTGGGACATTTTCGTGGACATTTTCCTCCATTTGGGAAGTTGATTGATAACCAGGACAAGGTTTGTCATCGATAAACATTTCACCTTTTTTGAAACAAGAAAACCACTCTTACACTTGTGTTTTTCCCATAGTGCTGTCCTTGTAAGCTGTGTTCAGCATCACAATAGTTTCTGTGCATCATTTTTCCCAAACAGGAAACAAAATTTCACAGCTGCACGCTGTTGTCTTAAGCTGTTGACTTAAATTGGACATCACAAAAAAATGGATGTTTGGGTGAAACTGCTTTTATGAAAAAACTCACTGTGACAAGAGAGAACCTTCCCAGGCAACTCCACTGGGTGCACTGACTCAGCGCGAGTTGCTCTATGCTCGCGCAGTGAGAAAAAATGTGTACTATGAGAGTTCCATTCCACCCAGCGCAATTCTGGTTTTGGGAGGACATATATTAACTTTGCTTCAGTGGCATCCCTCCTTTATCTTCCCTCTAGTTTTTATACTCAAAATTAACTTGCAGTAATTACAATTGACCTTCTAAATTTGATCCCTGCGAAAATAATTTGTTTTCCTGAAATAAAATTGTGTAAAAAAGTTCTTAAATGATTGATTGGAGTTTTTGCTTGGCTTGGTTCTGAATGGAAACAAGATTTAGAATTTGGAGGTGCTTTACAACTGGTAAGCATTTTCAGTAAAGTTCCAATTACATGTATTTTCTCTTAATAACAGCTATGGACTGATTAAAAGCTTTTTCTTTGTGGTTACTAAAGTGATTAACAGGCAGTGATATTTTCCTGAGTGAGTCCTGGTGATGTAGTGGTTACGAGTTGGGCAATTAGAAACCACAACCCACTCCACTCGAGAAAGATAGAACTAATTTATCAATGGAAGCATGTATATTACTGAGATGCTAAACAGATTTAGTGTATCTTCAGTACTATGACTAGAGGGAAAGAACTAGTGATCTATTCCCAATAAGCCTAATTAAAACTGTGTGTCAGAGCTTAAATTCTGAACACCCAGGTAGCATAAGGCTGGGGATGACAGTGAAAGCCCCAAATCGAATTAGAGAGCCCCTCACGGACTAAGTCTGCATTGAATTTCCTAAGTTAAATTGACCAAGGAATGAATGTTCTTTTCCTAGATCACAGTGTATTGGAATGTGGGTTATTTTAGATAACATCAGGGTAGAATGTAGTATCTTAACATTTGTTTCTTTTAAAATTTAAATCATTTTCAGCTTGTTCTAGTTATTACATTCTGCTATTATTTGTATTGATGCTCTTCTGTGTTTTATTCTGTTGTGATTGATGGGGTGTTGTTTCTTTTTTCATTTTCTGTACATGAATTATTTTCACTACATGAAATTCAGAATAAGTAAATGTATAGCTAGAGCAACTAAATTAATAGTTTGTTAAGATTATGACAAAGGGAGGTTGTTGGGGAAATAGGGATCTCCTAATGGATACAAGAATGAAGAATGAGGAATGTACAAATCTGTTTAATAGATTTAAATAAGTGTTTTGGTATGTCAATTACATGTCAATAAAACTTTTAAAATACTAAACCTATAAAAATATGCACGTAGATCTATTTCTCCATCTTATATAAATATATTTATATATGTACATGCCTGTATTTAGACCTCTATAAACCCTTTGCCTCCTAGTTCTTTCCTCTATTTCCTTTTACTTTGCTTTTGTCCCACTATCATGCTCAGCCTTCATTTGAGTTTCAGTAATTTATCTCAGTTACACTGCCCTTGCTGAATCCTTACCAGGCCTCTCACACCCTCTGTGGCACTATTTTGGATCACTTGTTGCTCCCTGGTACATATGTAAATATATTTATATAGGATGGTGGGGAAATAGATCTAAGTGCATATATTTTTAGGTTTACTATTAAGGCAGCAGATGGACATTGGAACTCCACGCAAATACTTCCTCAATGTAAGAACACTTTATTCTATTAAATTGGTATTCCATGATGCACACCTTCCTGACACGATCGCTGAAGACAAATGTGTGCATGAGCAAATGTAGTAAAGAAAGCTGATGGTGACTGGCTATCAAAAGATATAGTGTCTGGGGTCTTGCACATCAGCTTGCGTGATCACGAGGTGTCGAAGGGGTCAGTTATCAGGCATCAAAGAACAAAAATATCATATCATTGTAAATGAGGGTGAGTGCAGAGTGGAGACCCAAAGCCTATCTGTAGGCAACTGTACACCCCCTTACAGAAGGGTTGTGGGGAGGAGATGAGCCAGTCAGGTTGCAGGGTATCAACGATGAAGCATACAACTTTCGTCTAGTTCTTAAAGATTCCTCCCACCCACTATCATGATCCCAATTCTGCGTTACAAATCTGGCTAAACCAGAGGATGTACATTGGTACAGATAGGAACTGGAATCCAGGGCGGATGATCCCTTCAGGACCAGTGGTGAGAGTGGCGATAGTGGGAGGGTGGAGGGAAGGTGGGGTAGAAAGAGAGGAACCGATTACAAGGATCTACATATAACCTCCTCCTTGGGGGATGGACAATAGAAACGTGAGTGAAGGGAGACACCAGACAGTGTAAGATATGACAAAATAATAATTTATAAATTATCAAGGGTTCATGAGAGAGAGGGGGGAGCAGGGAGGGAGGAGAGGAAATGAGCTGATATCAAGGGCTCAAGTAGAAAGCAAATGTTTTGAGAATGATAATGGCAACAAATGTGCTTGACACAATGGATGGGTGTAAGAGTTGTATGAGCCCCCAATAAAATGATTTTTAAAAATAAATAAATTTACATTTAAAAAACATTTAAAATAAGTTAAAAAAATTAAACCCCAAATGTCACTATGTTCCATTCTAATTATGGTATAGACTAGACATAATTTTTTTATATTGTATATGGGGTCCCCCCATAAATTGGGGGCCAACTCAACTGTAACAAGAACAAGCATGATAAAAATGGTGATAATGTTGAAGTGATTCATGTTAAGTGCTATAGTATCAAATATGTAGTGTTGATTTCTTGATAGCAAATAAGTGGAATAGCATGTTCCCCCAGAGATAAAGGTTTAAGGGCAACCATAGGAAAAGAATGTGTGGTAGCATTAAATATTTGCTTAATTTTTTCAGTTGGATGCCACATAAAATAATTGGCTTGCCATGGTGCATGAAAACTATGTTCACACTAGTATCTCTTATTTTGGCTTCTTCTGTTGACCTTACTACATAGAAGCTCTCAGGAACTTGAGACTAAGAAAACAGCGGATTGAGTTATCACCTTCCCAGTTGAATTCTTTCCTTTTTAGAAATGCATGTAGTTCAATTTTGTAGGTTAGATATTCATGTTATGCCCAACTTGTTTCAATGGAAATGATTTGCTGCCAGGATACCCAATTGTTATCTACTGATTCTGAATTTCCTGGACATTTGGACAAATTTTATTTAGATTTGGTTTTAGCTTCTTGCAAACCTAGTCTTCAAAATAGCATGCTCATAATAAACAACGCATTATAGTCCCTGATTTTTTTTCCGGGTAGATTTTATTGTGCTACAAATATGGAATTTTGCATAATCATGTTCATTATTTTGTGCTGAACAGTTTTAACCATTTTATGTGATAGAGTTCTTTTACAAAACAATTGACTTTAAATATGTTCTTAAGTTAATTGGAATGGACCTCTGGAATGTCATAATTTTAGGTTTTTAATATGAGGACCTTATTTTCCTGGCAGCGTTGAATTGTTTTATTTGTTGAAAAGCCTATGAGTATAGACAAGGCAGAAAAGAACTATGATACAAAATTATAAGACCTTGTCCATAACTCCGATTCTAACATATTCTTTTCATTCACATAAGTTTTCTCATTTTAATTTGTTTAAAGCAAACGTGTTTTGTGCAATTTAAATAGTTTATACTCATGTTCTTCATTATTTAACCGTCATATTTTTTTGTCATTGTAATTTGAAAACTGTATAGTGTTTCATTTTATGTTCTACAAGTTAACTATTCCATTTATTGAGTATTTAAGTTACTTTTAGAGTATTGTAGCTTCACTTATTAAGTGAAGATATTTGGCATACCCAGAACACAGAAAGCTCACACGCTCACATACAAACATGTATTTAATTATATCTTTTTGGATCATATAATTGATCAAATTAATTTTTTGTGTTACTGATGAATTAAAAGGTTCTGAGCACTATAAACAACTCTGTAACTGGTGTGTACATGTAGGTTTTTATTTAAAATAATTCCCTTAGTATTTGTAATGTTAAAGCAAATTTTGTATCTTTAATGGCTGTTAATAGTATTAGTTTTTCTATATTTTCTGACATGTAGTTATTATGTAATGTTTTTTATTCATACAGATGGATTAAGCAAAATCAGGCTAAACTATAGTGATGAATCATCTGAAGGTGGTAAAGTGCTTGAGGATGAACTCATTGACTTCTCCGAAGATCAGGATAACCAGGTGAAGGCGTGAGCTTAGCAAAAAGTCCTAATGTCTTCATTAATCATTTTCTATAGAGTTTCATAATTAAAAACTCATTACATCTCTTAGATTGGAGTGTAATTTCAAAACAAAAAATCAGTTTTCAATTTAGAAGTTGCCAAGACTGTATGAATGTTATTTTAAAAATATTTTTACTACAGCGGATTGAATTCATTAATTATTATTGCCCCCTTCATAATACTTTAATGTAAAATTAATTCTCCAACTTCAACCCAACCACCATCAATCACCTTTTCTCTACCTCTTCCAAGACATTTGTTGGTCTTTTTTAATCTTTAGATTATAATTTTAAGAGGCAACTATCTAAGTTTTTATTTATGTCATGTAAGAAGCCAACAAAATTAATATGGTATTTCTATTTTTCAGTGTTTTCTCTTTTCATTTTAGTTAATGTATATATGTAGGTAGTAATAAAATTAATAGAGGTAAATTCTAGTGCTTTATTGAAATCTTAAATAAATGTTACTGACCTCAAGAATAAGGAATATTTTTGCAAATAGCTAATGGGGACTTTATCTTAAGAGATATGTTTTATTTCATTTTCTGCCCTTTCAGTTATGAGTGAAAGTTAGCTTTTCACTGTACCGTTTATCATTTTTGCTTGATCCTTTTGTGAACAAAAACCATTTTTGTGTGTTTTGTCTTGGTTTACAGTGGGTGGCTGTGAGTTATAATGTTCTTTCCAAAATGTATATTCATGTTCATGACGATAAAGACATTGTGTTAATGAAGTGGAGATACATGGTTTTGTCAAAATAGTGTTTCCTAAAACCATCAAATATTTCTGATATGAAAAATTATTTGTATGAAAACATTGTTGTGGAATAGTTCTCTTAGCCAACAAGCTAAAATTTTTAGAAATAAACTAAGCAATGATATTCGAGGGTAGAAGAGTCCATTGTAATATCCTTGATTATTAAAAATTTATTCCAGATTGAGTAAAATTATATAGCTAGTCTTAGATTTCTGATTGGTAGTTACTATTAAGATGTTCATTTTTAAGTATTTGGAATCAAGCAACAAACTAAATTTTCTATGTCTAATTTGCCTATATGGGCCATTTCTTTGCGTGTTTGTTGCACAGAATTTTACCATTGATGGTGCTGTTTAATTAGATAAGTGATTATTTAGATTGTTTAGTTTTAGAGCTAATCCCAGGCTTTCTTTTATAGGATGATAGCAGTGATGATGGATTCCTTGCTGATGATAATTGCAACTCAGAAATAGGACAGTGGCATTTAAAGCCTACAATCTGTAAACAGTAAGCATTAACAGTGTTTATTACAAAATACATGGTTACAAAAGCATAAGTCTTTTAAGTACCCTCTTAAAATTTATATACTCGAGTAAGTGTCAGAAAGGTTGCTCAGGGAGGAAAATTTGTTCAGAAATCTTGGAGGGGAAGGATGTATAATCTTTTTAGTTTTCCATTTGCCCACTTCTGTGTTAATTTGAACACACATATTTCCATAGTAAACCAGTATTTCTTTTGGGAATATAATATTTGGGAGCAGAAAAAGACTTAACTACCATTCCATTCAGTAACATAGGAATCAGAGTTTAAACTGGTTTCATAGCTACAGTATGAAGATATGTCTGTATGGAATGACTCAAGACAGCCCTTTGGGATGCGATCCAGATGGGAGCCCCCCCCCCCAATAGAGTGAATGTTTATTCTAAAGTCTCTATAGAGACTCTGAATTATAGTGATGAAGTATTATTTCTTGTACAGAATGTTTGGTAAAATTCCATTGGTAGCTTTTGGAAGCAAAGTTTAATTTTTAATGTTAAAAATGGAGACCTGGGAGGAGCCGATTACCAAGAGCTCAAGTAGAAAGCCAATGTTTTGAAAATGATGATGGCAACAAATGTACAAATGTGCTTGACACAATGGATGGATGGATGGATTGTGATAAGAGTTATATGAGTCCCCAATAAAATTATTTTAAAAAAATAGAGACCTAGATAAATTAAAGGATTTGTTCCAATCTCTGGGTCTTTTTGCACTAATCATTAGACTTCCTCATTTGCTTTTACAGAATTAAAATATTGACGGTTAGGCTTTTAGTTATACCAGCTGTTTTGAAGGGGGAATCTTGGTAAAACAGAAAACATCCCCCTGGATTCTAAAGCAATTATTTTTAATGCAGTGATGTACTGGTTTAATTATCCAGTACATTGTTTGGGTTAAAAATAGGGTTATTTTCTTTCTACTTTTGTATGATCTCACATTTGGTGATTTGGAATATGAGGATATTCAAATTTTCAGAATTGTTTTCATTTTCTGCTACCTTTTTGTGTGTAATATATTTATGTATAAGCTATTTTAAAATTATTCTGTGACTTAGTATTTAATATAACCATAGATATTTAAGTTTTTGTAAACTGCTTGTGTATATAGATTTTATTTTCTAAGTTTTACTGAGTTGCGTACAAGAGAATTGTGAATTAAGATTTTATTGTTAATGTGTCATACTGTATCATAATTTATTTTCATCACATTATAAAATATTCAACACTTGGGTCATTTCTACCCTGCAGGCCTTGTATCTTGCTTATGGATTCTCTCAGAGGCCCTTCTCGCTCAAATGTTGTAAAAATTCTAAGAGAGTAAGTTCAAAATCTGACTTCACACATAGTGTCATTTTTCTGGTGGTAGGCAGCATATTTACATGTGTGTATCATTTTATTATTTGTGCATTATTACAGATATCTAGAGGTGGAATGGGAAGTTAAGAAAGGAAGTAAAAGGAGTTTTTCCAAAGATGTTATGAAAGGCTCAAATCCAAAAGTACCACAGCAAAACAACTTCAGTGATTGTGGTGTGTATGTTTTGCAGTATGTAGAAAGTTTTTTTGAGGTGGGTTTCAGTTTTTTTTATCTAATACAGTATTTGATACTATTTCAATGTAAGAAAACACCACAAACAAATAGCATGAAGACATTTAAAAAAAGTGGTTTTAAGATTATTCCCGAGAGCAAAAACTCACAAGTTTTAGAAATAAGAAGGCATAAAATGCCATCTTGACCTAATTTCACCTTAATCATCAAATCATCTATTTCATCCATTCTTTTATCATTCCTGGTTCTTTCTGAAGAAATCCTTCCCAAGATTCAGAATGCCTCTTTTACCAAACTTTTTACCAAGCTCCCCTTCACAGACACATTTCTTAAGAGATTTATATCCACTGTCTCCGTTTCCACAACTCCTATTTCTTTCTCAAATCTCTGTTCACTCTGACCTCTATACTGAAATTATTCTTGAACTCCCAGCCCCATTTCACTCTGTTGACCAAAGCAAATCTAATTGTGTTACTTTCCTACTACTACGTACAAGGAAAAAACCAAAACACCTTGTAGTGGCCTTTTGAACAAAAGGATTATGGTCTCTCACATGGGTTGTGTGATCTGACCCCTGCCGAAACTTCTAGCCTTATTACCACTACCTTTGTCATTCTCTGTATCAGTCATGTGCATGTCATCCATTTCCTCATATTGTAGCATGTTCTTTCTTGCCTCTAAGCATTGATACATGTTTCTTTACCTGGAATACTTCTGTTGCTTTTATAATTTCCTAACTAACTAACTCCTGTTTGTCTTCTTAAGCCTCAGCTCAAACTTCATTTCTTCTAGGAAAAGTTCCCATACATTGAAGGTGCTTCAAGAAGTTCACAGAAAATTGGAATTAATATATATTAGAATTTTCCCACCAACTTTAGAAGTCTCATATATTCTTTTAGTAATCTACAGTTCTGAAATCATATACTTGCCACTTTCATTGTTTTATTTGTTGAATTATTGTTTGTAAAGAGTGTAGGTAGCAAATATTTTCTGTGTAAACATACAGACCCTGTTTCAACTGCTAATTTCTGCTGTTGTAGTGTAAAAGCAGCCAGAGACAGTATGTAAATTAACTGTGTTTACTCTACAGGCAGTGCAGTAGATATGGCAAGTAGGCCATAGCTTGCTGACCCTCAATCTAGATCTTTGTCTTACATTTCCTTTGCCCAGCACAATGCCTGGCATGTGATACATAATGATTAAATTCATATTGAATTTTCCCCCCTGAATAATTTCCCCCTTTTATTTATTATTGGGAGTTGATACATACATTATTCCATAGTTCAAATCACGCCAAGCAGAACTTTCCCCCCTATTTTAACTGTCGTTTTGGTGATTGAAACGAAATTATTATATTTTTGCTTTTAATGTGCATTTAATATTTTTATTTTTAGAATCCAGTTCTCAATTTTGAACTACCTATGAATTTGACAAACTGGTTTCCTCCTCCAAGAATGCGGACAAAAAGAGAGGAAATCCGCAACATAATTCTGAAGCTGCAGGAAGATCAGTGCAAAGAGAAAAAGAAGCATGACGACACGTATTCAATAGAAACGCCTTTAGGTGAAGGAACAGAACAATACGTCAACAGTATCCCAGACTGACCATTTCTGTGGCTGTCAGTTCTGCCTCCAGAAACTAAATGACATTGACCTTTGTCTATACAGTAAAAAAACCGAACTGTCCACTACTCAGAGTGATTTGGAAATTTCAGTGCTTGTATAAATGTCATATAATTAATTTTCAATGGAGTATGTATTAAGTAAATGTCTGTAAATATGTTAATGAGGCCAAATTTTCCAGCATTTCTAATTATTTTTTTCACACGTTAGGAAGCTTTTGTTATGTATTTTCTGTTAATAGAACTTAAACCTACAACTTCTAAACAAAATAAATAAAATGAAAATATTTATAGGAGGAAATGGTTAACTTGATATTCTTTAGTAACTTGTATTAAATTCCTCACTGGGTGTGATATATTTCATAGGAATATTTAAGTATCTGTGATAAATTTTTGACTTTATACATTTGTTTTGAATTGAAATATAAGAATAAGATTAAGACATTTTGAACTAAAAAGAAAGACATCCTCATGCTTATGTTGCATAAAAAGCATCTTTTTAATTAATACACTCCTGTATGCCCAGAAGCCCGAGAAATGTTAATATTTATAGTTTTAAACTGATATTTATGAAGAAGCAGTATTAAGAGCAATTCAAATTAAAGTTACTTTGAATAATATTATTAAAAATGAAATAAACTTTCTCATACATTATTGTAAAATGTATTTCTGAAGGCATCAAAAATTCCCGTTAAAATTATTTTGGTTGAGTGTAGCCTGTAACATTACGTTACCTTTCTATATTATAGTTTAAAATATGTTAAAACCTATGTGTCATAATTTTATCTGCACAACTACAGAAATTTAAATAGGAATTTACTTTTATTTATAATAGCTTTTGCTATTTTTCCATTGCTCATTTTTTTCTTGGGTTTTTAAAAAAAATCATTTTATTGGGGGCTCGTACAACTCATTTTCACAATCCATATGCTCTTGTTCTTTTGCTAAGCAAAATATCAGACCTTTTGCTTGCGGTTCACTGTGTAAATTATTTTAAATGAAAGAATATTGCCTTTAATTTCACAATACAGAATAACTCCTACCTTAAATTCTCCTTTGAAAACACTAAAATATGGCTTATATTACAGATCAGTGGGAACCTAGCACATATCTGTTGAAACTCTTTTTTCAATTGAAATGTGTTCTTATTTCTATACCTTTTAAAATTTTGTGTTAAATAATGAATTTTAAAGGTGCATATAACAAAAGTAGAGGCTGAAAGGAAAGACTTTTTTTATCAGTTTTTTTCTTTAGCCATCTGTGGCATATAACCAACATTTTATGCCTTTTTCTTAAATTCAGTTGTGTCCATATGTGTGGAGGGGTATTAATAATAACCACAAAAATTGATTTTATGAGAGAACACTTTTAAAACTAGGCTTATGGAGAGTTACTATTATAATATGAACTATGGGCTTTTGTTTCTTCAGTAATTTCAACTATCTTAACATTTATTTCTGATTATACCATTTTTTAAAAAAAGGAATGCCTTAGAGATAATAGATCAGATATGAAAAATAAACAATTTCACTCATTAATGCAAAATGATTTTTGCTTTCTAATCAAATTCTAAGAGAAAAGTAACAGATTATTCTTTGCTAACATTATTTTTAAATACCTAATTGCAGTAAGTAAAATCTATATATTTTTAAAAATACGCTGCACTTTGTCAGCCTTTGAAAGTACCCTGTGGTAAAGTGAATATTTGTTTCTGTTTTTATTTCAAATGGTTACATTTTATACTCACATACTTAGTAAGATAAAAATATAACTTGTCCCTTAGACCAATAGAAGCCAATTTAACATGAAAAGGTATAGATGATGCATGTCAACCTTCTAGAGATAGAACTATTTATGATAATTACTCCCAGCCCATGTGAAAGGTAACATTTTAAAATTTATACTAATGAGTTCTCAGTGCATATTGAAAAATTTGAGACTACAAGGTTTCACTCCCAAAGGACATGAAACACTCTGGTGCTTCTATCTGTAGTTTAAAGTAGATCTAACCCTTTTAAGATGTGTTTGTTGATACTTAGAAGTTTGAAACAAAGTCTAGAGGTTTGGTACTAGACACTGAAACTGCATGATGAGTATCTGGTGTCTTAACTAATTAGATCTGTTGTATTGGTTTTCCTGTTGGATAGAATATCAGTTAATAATTTTTAGAAGAGTTTTAGATTACTTGTCATAAAATATGTATGCATTTCAGCTTGTGGTAGTTTAGAAGTAAAGGTAGTGCTTCATTTGTCCCTTTCCTCTGATGTTGCTATCCCTACTTTAAAAAGTTGAAAAAAATATTAATTCAACTCACATAAACCTTAAAACAGTTTAATTTTTCTTTGAATAGTGAGTTGGGCTTCCATTCTGAGTCAATTAAAAGCAGGAGATTTTATTTCAAAGGATACCGTGATTATGAAAATTCCATCTTTTTTAAGTCACCAAAATTAATTCAGTATTTCTTTTCTTTAAACCCTGATCTATGAAAACTAAATTATGGCAAAGATGAACTATTTTAATTTACCAAAAATCAAATATTGTACTTAAAGTCTCAAACTATTCACCAAAAAATAATAATGAAAAATATAATATTTTAGTACACAATAAATACCCTAAGAGTTGATGGATTAAAGGTACTAAAATATAAACATGGAAAGGAATAACTGACTAAGGAAAAAAAGAATTGTGAGGCACTCTGTCTAGAAGAGATACAGATTACTGGGTTACTGTATAGATCACTTTGAGACAAACTGTAAAGGAAAAGATTGTTCAGTTGCTGGCATGTTACATAAACTGCCTGACAAAGTCATTGAAACAGAATAAATACCAGGCAGGACTAGGTGATGTTGGTAAATATAAGAGTGTATTGATATTCTCCAACAGGAATTTCTGATTTGTGTTTTTATATTCTCAGAAGGAGTTATTGGAATAGCTGTTCCAAAATTAAATTTTACCTTTAGGGTATAAATCAATTGATCACATAGAGCAGCAGTTCTCAACTTGTGGGTCGTGACCCCTTTGTGGTCAAATGATCCTTTCACAGGGGCCGCCCAATACATAACTGTAGCAAAATTACAGTTATGAAGTAGAAATGAAAATAATTTTATGGTTGGAGGAGTCATCGCAACATGAGGAACTGTGTTAAAGGGTTGCAGCATTAGGAAGGTTGTTAAGAACCACTGACATAGAGGCAAATGAACCTTGGGGAAAGGTACGTCTAGTTCAAGGAATACTAATAGAATAACAGCTTAGAATATCGGTATAGAAAGTCCTTAGAGGAAAAAGCCAGGAATGTTGCATGGCCCAGAAAGAAAAATCCTTTAATGAAAGAAGACTTAATGGGTTATTATTATTTTAATGGTCCTTATTGAAAGATTACAATGTAAAGGTTGGTATCCAAAGCCAGAATTTTTTTTCCCTCTTTGGAATGACTCTTTTGAATGACTATTAGTATGGTCATAAATTTGACAGTTACACGGTACATTGTTAATGTAGCTAAATATAAATTGCTTTGAGATCAGTACATAACTGTGCCAAGCTTTAAAGAATTTCTCAATTTTAGTGAGCATGTTTAGCAAACCACTGATTTGAAAAGATCATTATATATCTCTTAGGACCAGTCATTTTAACATCTGCATTTTCTACCCTTGAGTCTTCAGAACTCTTCCCCAGACGTTCTACCATGAACTTGATGTTAGGTGCTGTTGAGTCAGTTCTGGCTCCTGTCAACCCTCTGTACACCAGAACAAAACAGTGCTTGGTCCCGTGCCATCCCCAGGGTTACTGTGTTTTAGTCCATTGTTGGAACTACTGTATTATTAGTACAGCATGAGTCTTCCTCTTTTTCTCTAACATGCTACCAAGCATATCTTCTAGGGCTATGCCTGATAAACATGCCCAAAGTACATGAGATGAAGTCTCGCCTTCCTCGTGTCTATGGAGCATTCTGTCTATACTTCTTCCAAGATGGGTTGGTTGGTTCTTCAGGTCATCCGTGGTGTATTCCATATTTTGCCAGTTCTGTAATTCAAAGGCATCGATCCTGTCATCATCCTTCACCGTCTCCCTTTAACATATATTTGAGGCATTGGAAATAGCCTGGCTTGGGGGTAAGCATCTTTGTCATCAAGGTGACATCTTTCTTTTTAACACTATATAAGTCTTTTAACAGCTCTTCCCATTGCAAGATATCCTTTGATACCTTGAGTGCTGCTTCCTTTGGCATTCATTTTGGAGCCAAGTAAAAAAAAAATCCCCAAAATGTTATTTATTCTGCATTTACGTTGCTTATTGGTCTTGTGAGGACTTTTGTTTTCTAAATTGTTGAGATATAATTCACACTGTAGACCGTAGTCTTTGGTCTTTAAGTATTTCAAAGTCCTCTTCATGATCAAGCAAGGCTGTATCATCTGATTATCACAGGTTGTTAATAAGTCTTCCTCCAGTTGTGATGCCTTGCTCTTCATATAGTTCAGCTTCTCATTATTTGCTCAGCATATAGATTGAATAAGTATGAAAGGACATAATTCTGACATCTTCCCTGATTTCACATCACATTATATATCCTTTTGTTCTGCACTTAACTTGGTATGGGTTCCCTGTGAGCACAATTAAGTGTTCTGGAATTCCCATTCTTGGTAATAATTTGTTCTGATCCATATAGTTGAATGCCATTAGCATCAATAAAGCACAGAATAAAACTTATTCTGGTAAACTGGTATTCTCTCAGCTAAAATTCATCTGACCTCATTCCATGCCCTCTTCTGAATCTGCCTTGATTTTTCAGTAATTCATCTTATTGTACGCATGAACAAAAAAACCAAAAACAAACCTGGAGACCACATGCTAGGATAGTCAAGTCATGTAAAGTAAACTAAATTCTTGTATGTGCTAAAGGTATAAAATTAATAAGCCATATTACTAAATAAAATAGCAAGTAGTAAATATAAGTAATAAATAGGAATTATACTAAAAATATCTTTGGCCTATTTGCATTGGTTATTAATATTGTTTGTAAGTACCTCGTTCTGTTGGGTCACTGCTGTTTGAAATGGCCATGAATACAGATGTCATTTGGTTCGGCAGATCTTCCAGATTTATTCGCATGTACAAATGAGTGCTTCCCAGATTGTATTCACTTGTTGAACTTAAATTGTGCCTTGTTTTTGCACCATTGCCTTCAGTACACTTTGGACTTTTCACATAGATTCTTGATCATATCCTCCCTCCTGAAATGATTGAACATGGAGCAGTTCTTTTTGGTACAGTGAATTTATATATGTTCCTTCCACCATTTTCCTGTATCTTATTAATATTTTGCTTTCAGATTCCTTCAATATTGCACCTTGAGGCTTGAATTTTTTTTCCATTTTTTATCAGCCTGTAAAATAAGCTTGTTTTTCCTAGTTGGTTTTCTAACTACAGGCCTTAATGCCATCAAGTCTCCTGTAGAGCTCCTACTGGTCTTGAATTACCGACCATACAAATTGCAGCTCAACACATAACCACTACACCAAGAGGGCTCCATAACGTCAGGTCTTACTTTTTTGCAGACTTTATTACACTATTTTGTCTTCTCAAGGTACCCTTTGAAATGTGCTTATCTCTTTTAACTCATTTTTAAGCTTCCAGTTTTGCTATTATATCTTGAAGAGCAAGTTTC